TAAAAACAAGAATTCCTGTACGGTGCTATTGCAAAATTTGCAATAGCAAATCTGTTGATCCATGTGTAAGAGAAAAGTATATGAAAGAGAGAGTGCATAGAATACGAGGCATCACTAATTCTACAAACTCTGTTGAGTCTTCTAATGCACCAATCAAAGAAGAAATGATATATGATAATTCAATAGAAGTGGATAAAAGTTACAATGATGATAGTAATAAAGATATTAATTTTCTTCCCAAAAAGCCAAGAAAGTTCAAAGAAAATATGAAATTAAGTGGTTATGGTGATGGTACCAGTAATATAACATATCCAACAGTCATGATCGAACAGTATTTTTTTGAGAATGATTATGAAGACGATAAAGATATCGATCAAGACATAATTACTGATGAGAAGGATGATGAGGAATTAGATAGTAATGATGAATTAGAATAGTTTGTTAACTTTGATGTTTCTGAATATAATAAGGGTATTGAAGATATTTCAATATCTAACATTAATACTAGTGAAAGTTTTTTGTGGATTATTTTGTGGATTTTAAAGTATCAGGAGAGATATCAGCTATCTGACTTGGCAATCAAATCGCTAATTTTGTTTATGAGATATCTATTAGTACTTATTGATGAAAATAAGTATATGATATTTCTAACTTCACTAAAAATGACACAAAAGATGCTTGGGGTTTGTATTCACTTAATTAAGTATGCTGCTTATTAAAAGTGCCCAAGTAAGCCAAAATTACATCATCTCAATCATTATCTGGCCCCACTAATTGATCAATTAATAGAGTTGTAAGATGGGGTTAAGCTATCAAGTACTCATGAACAATCTACAGGCAGTTTTTTTTTTTTTTTTCTTTTGATTTTTTTTTGATTTTTTACAGACAGATTAATTCACGGTATAGTTATTTGTTGTGTATGCAACATACCAGTAGCTAGAAAACTCTGTAGATTTATATTAGCCTATATTGCATATCATAGATATATTAAGAGAGCTAGCCTTAATAATAGAAATCAGCCAAATTTTAGTAGATTTGATGACATAGATCTGTGGTTTGTCCAAAGAGATGTTGAAAAAATAAGAGATAATGCATTGTTGTGGAAAGAATGTGCAACTAATGAAGCCCGAAAGAATCATGTCTCTGATAAATTGGTGCGTTGGTCGGAAATATATCGTCTGCTATACTTCAATTCTGTATAATTTCTTGTGATCAATCCTATGCATTGTCTGTTTTTAGATATTGCCAAATAGATCATAACATGGCTGTAGATTGAAGAGGGCCGATTGACACAAAAATATTTAGTAATTATGCAATAACGGGCAAATATATTAAAAGTTCCTTCAGATATTGGTAGGTTACCAAGTAAAATAGCTACAGGTGAAGAGTTTTCAAGGTTTATAGCTGATCAATAGAAAACATTTATCCTTATATATGCTACTCCAATTACTTGAGACCTACTTCAGAATGAGGATAGAAGAATACTAGCATATTTTGTAAGAGCATGTAGTATTCTTGTATGTCGCATCGTTTCTAAATCAGCATTGCAAGAAGCTCATGAGTATTTGCTATCTATGATAAAGCTTGTTGAAAAGGTTTACGGTCCAGCGAAGATCACACCAAATATGCATTTGTATTTGCATATTTGTGAATGTATGCTTGATTACGACCTATTGTATACATTCTGGTGCTACAGTTTCAAAAGAATAAATGGTTTATTAGGTAATTGCAGATATTAATATTAAAAAAAAATAAAAAAAAATAAAAAAATATCTCAATTTGTATTTCTATGGCTCATACAATTTCTATATCGATATATTTTATTTATAGGTTCTTTACATAATAGCAATCGACGAATAGAACCTGAATTACTTCAAACCATTAATTTATATTCTTTTCTGATACTCTCTCGTCATATGCTAATAAGAATATTTATCTTTCAAATTGTTTAACCTATATTGTATATAAAGAGATGGTTGGCAGCTATATAAATATGAATAATGATGAGATTGATATGATAGAATTTTTATTAATATTGTGAAACATGCTAGAAAAGGTGGGAGCAGGGTCCGAGCCATTTCTAGGAGAATTACTTAAGCCATTGAAAAGGAATGTGAACCTACAAGCAGATTTATTAGAATTATTGGTAAAATATTACCATAATTTATATGATCATTTAATTTACCCTCTTTTAGAAATTCATGTTGCTCTTCAAGGGTCGATTCCTGTTTCATCAAAGATCGATCAATTCAGTAGGTTGCATCTTGGATCTGAGATAATTGGATTAACCTTTTCTCTTACACATGGATCAACAGATTTGCTATTGCAAATTTTGCAATAGCACCGTACAGGAATTCTTGTTTTTA